GCGGTCACCACAAACTCAGGCATATCCTTGCGCTCTGGGACGACTACAGAGCAGTGGTCGGAACGCTGAGCCGGGGGTGCTGGCGCCGGCAGCCCACCACCTTTGTTTTGGGATTCCACGGTGCTGTCGGAGTCTACTGGACCCGCCGAGGAAACAGATGCGAGGCTCGGGCAGAGACTGCCACCGCGCATGACTCAGTCTAAAGTGGCAACTAAACTACCTGGGCAGAATAAGACACTTAAGGATGAGGGGTGGAGCCTGCGAAGACCTGGTTTCTGCAGTTGGGGAGGAACTTTGAGAGAAAGAAGGATCGTGGGCGGAGCTCTAGGACATCCTGGATGAAGTTTAAGATAGGGACAGAGAATTAAAATGATTCCTGTAGCAGGTGGCGGTGTTCAGGACCTAGAAAAGGCTCGGCAGGTAAGAGCACTTGGCATCACGCCTTGCCACCTAACTTTGATCCCAGGGAACCACACAGTGGAAAGAGAGGACTGACTCTCAAAAGTAGTCCTCTGTTCACGCATATACTGCAGCACATGCGCCCCTCGATGCTTTAGTCTCAGCACTTGAGAGGCAGAGGCTAACGGATCTCTGAGTTCAAGGCCAGCTGATTTATATATAAAGTTCTAGTCTAGCCAGAGCTACAAAAAAAAACAAAAAACAAAAAACAAAAACAAAAACTGGCAAGGCTTTTAAGGAAGGAGAGTTGAATCCAGGAGGAACGGAGTTACTCTGAGATGGGTGGAGCTTTGATCGAAGGGGAGTGGCATATCCAAGGTAGGTGGACCCAGAGGCTGTGCAAGAGTTAAGGGGCGTGGTTTATGAAGGAGGAAGGGGAATTAGGTGGAGTCTGTATTTGGATGAGAAAGACAGAGGCTAGGCTTGTTGGTTTGGATAGAAGCTAGACCCAAGAACTAGAGGTTGTTCTGGAGCTGGAAAAGGGGCAGAAAACTAAAATGGGAATGTTAACAAAAAACGCAGAAGAGGAAGACCAGGTAACGTTATATAGCTGGAAATTGTAGGTAGGTGTGGGCAGTAGGTGTCTCATTGTATGCCTTCCAAGCTAGAGGGCTCGACCTAGAAGGCTCTGCCCTGAATGAGACCCATTGTCGCTTTTACTCAGTCCTGGTTCCAACCCTGTTTTGTCCTCTCCTCTCGTTGGCTTAGGGGGTCCATCGGCCCAACCCTGCAAAACTGTGATTGGACAGCAGCGGGCACTGGTTTCTAAGGCCAGGTGGGGCCTAAGTACTAAATCGCCAGAGTTGAAGGCCAAGCTCAATAGGTGACAGCCAACCTAGGGCAGACCCTGCCTCCTAGAGAACAGGCTGGACTTGAAACCTGGAGCTGGCCTGGACATATTGAGTTACTGAGGGCAGTGCCTAGGGGCATCATGTCAAGCAAGAATCGTGTCTCAGTAAGAAGCCAGCTTCTTTTGCAACTTTTCCCAAGATCTTTGACATTTTAGGGACACCTATTATTTAACCCTTATAGCAGCCCTGCACACTGTCATATCCTCACAGTACAGATTATAAACCTGAAATTCAGGGGTAAGGTCATTTTGCCTGAAGTCATACATCTGACTTAGCAGCAATCCAGAACAACATAGAAGCAGCAATCTGTGCTTCATCCAATACCGAGGCCACTGGCAAGCTTTCAAAATCTCCTCTGGTAGTTATTTAGATATCTATAGAAGTATTAGGTATTTAGAGAGATACACTTCTGTAGCTGCTGCTTCTATTACTTCGGTACTAGTGACTGAGCCCAGATCCTTGCTCATGCAGGGTAAGCACTTCAGCAGGGAGCTACACCCTTCGACTTAAAAAAAAAAAATTATTGAGTATTACTCAGCTGTTTAAAAAAGTGATATCATGCTGGGCAGTGGTGGCGCACGCCTTTAATCCCAGCACTTGGGAGGCAGAGGCAGGAGGATTTCTGAGTTCAAGGCCAGCCTGGTCTACAGAGTGAGTTCCAGGACAGCCAGAGATATACAGAGAAACCCTGTCTCAACCACCCCCCCCAAAAAAAGTGATATCATGACATTTGCAGGCAAATTAGTGGAACTAGGAAAAAAATTCCTGAGGAAACCCAGACCTAGGAAGATAAATATGATATGCATTCACTTATATGTGGATAATAAGTAAATGATAATATATTCACTTATATGTGGATACTAAATAATTAAATGATAATCAATCTACAATCTGCAGACCCAGAGAGGTTAGACCCAAAAGGAAGGGACTAGGGGAATACACGGATCTCCCTGGGAGGGATTTTAGAACAGATTTTACTGGTGGACTGGGGGCAAGTTGGGATGGGAATGGGAAGATCAAGTGGGGAGGGGGAGGAGAAACAGGGTTGCAAGAGAGAATGGGGAGGAGACCACTGGAATTGAGAGGCATTTGAGGAATGATCCTAGTACAGTGGGAACTCTAAAACATACAAAGATGATCCTATGAAGTCTCCTATAATGGGGGATATGGAGACCCAACTGGCCATCTCTTGTCACCAAACGAGGCTTCCAGCACAGGACTGGGTTGCATTTAATAGTTATTGGCCAAAAGGCTCCCATTAGAATCCTGATACCACCCAGGCTGTTGTAAAACAATGGGTTGCTCTCTACAAACTGTCAGCGGTGTCCCACTGTAGAGGATGGCACCCACATAACTCACTGAACACAGAGAAGTACAGATGGTGCCCATGTGAAGCCTTCACCCTATGTTCTGGTGTCTTTGGTGCACGAAGCCATTGCAGGATACCAAGAGAAGCATAAACACCAACTCAGCCACAAAACCTTTGACCTACAATCTGTCTTGCCTACAAGGTGTGCTAGTGCAACAGTGGCACAGAACTTGTGTCTTAAGACACACTCCATAAGAGAGAGAGCGAATACCCAGTACTGCTTGGTTGACCAAGAACCAGAGACAAGATAGCCCAGAGACCTAGGATAAAACCACACTACTGATCTAAAATAACATGACTCTTAATGATACTCTTCTCTGCCCGGCGGTGGTGGTGCACGCCTTTAATCCCAGCACTTGGGAGGCAGAGGTAGGTGGATTTCTGAGTTCGAGGCCAGCCTGGTCTACAGAGTGAGTTCCAGGACAGCCAGGGCTACACAGAGAAACCCTGTCTCCAAAAACAAAAACAAAAATGATACTCTGCTCTACTCGTAAATCTGCCTTATTCAGCCATTAGAGAAGCTTTCTTCTGCAGCAGATGGGAACAGATGCAGAGAACCCACAGCTAGCTAGTACACGTAAAGACTCCTTGGAACATTCAGTCTTAAATGGATGTCTATCAAATCCTTCCCCTCAGAGCTCAGGGAACCTGAGGAAGAGGTGGTGGAAAGAGTGTAAGGCCTGAGGGGATGAAGGACACCAGGAGAACAAGACCCTCTGAATCAACTAAGCAAAGCTCATTCAAGAGACTGAAGCAGCAAATACATAGGTCTGCACCAGGTTCTGCACATACATAAGCTTTCAGCTTAGTTTTTTTCCTCTTCCTTTTTCTGGTCCCCCACCTCCATCACCCCTGACAGAGTTTTTCTGTGTAGTCCTGGCTATCCTAGAACTCACTCTGTAGACAGGCTGGCCTTGAATTCAGATGTTCACCTGCCTTTTGAGTGCTGGGATTAAAGCTATGTGCCACCATGCCTGGCTTTCAGCTTAGTATTTTTATGGGACTCTTCTGAGTGTGAACAAGTAGGTCTGACTTCTGTGCCTGCTTTTAGGGCTCTTTTCCTACTGTTTGTTGGGTTGCCTTGTCCAGCCTCAATATGATAATTCTTATCTTGATTGTATTTTGTCATGTTATGACAGGAGGGGGAAACTATAATCAGGATATATTGTATGAGAAAATAACCTATCTTTAATAAAAAGAGGAAAAGAAAAGCAACCATTACTATTTATTAGGGTTCCCCCCGACCCAGACTGACTCTTGGAACTATGTAGCTCAGGATGGACTAGATCTAGCCTCCTCTTCTAGTTTGATGGGAATACAGAAATAGGCTAAATGTATCCAAATTTTCTTTAAGAGATTTATTTAATGTATATATGAGTATACTGTCACTGTCTTCAGACACACCAGAAGAGGACATTAGATTCAGCTACAGATGGTTGTGAGACACCATGTGGTTGGTGGGAATTGAACTCATGACCTCTGGAAGAGTAGCCCGTGCTCTTAAATGCTAAGCCATCTCTCCAACCCCCTGTATCCAAATTTTTGAGGCAAAGTCTAACTTGCTAAACTGCTCAGGATCCTCTTGTGCTTCAGCTTTCTGAGAAGCCACCATGCCTACCTGGCTGAGTGGTTAGTTCTTTGTGACAGGGACCCATGTACCTTAGGGCTGGACTCAAACCCTCTCTGTAGTGAATTACCAGGAACTTTTGATCCTCCTTTCCTTCCCTGAGTTACAGGGATGCTTTACCATTCTGGTTTCTGTAATTGGACCCAGAACCTCATGGTACCAGCTGGGCCATATCCATTTCCAAGTAACTCTGTGCCTCTGTACTTCCAAACGGGCTACTGAACAGATATTTACCGTTGAAGGGCCATAATCATACTCAGTGAATGGCCACACACGTTGTTCTGCCTTAGTCAGATGTGCGCTTGAGTAGAATTCCACTGCCTTTATTGTTCTAAGACTTAACCATCTTTTTTTGCATGATTAACCAGTATTGGTTTTTTTTGTTTTTTGTTTCGTTTTTTTGTGGGGCAGGGCTGGCTACCTATTCAGAATTCTGCCTCCTCCACCGCTCCTGAGTATGGGACCACTACATCCAGCTAACTTTATAGTTTTTTTTTTTTAATTCATAAAAAACAATTCTCTGACAATAGTCCCCAGGATCTCTCCTGAACCCCAACTTAGTTCTTGTGGCTGATAGGCATCTAATAACTTCCCTTCTCTCAACTCCATTATGCAGTCTTGTCTCTAACCCCCAACTCATATCCATTTTCCAATTCTACACTCAAAAAGACATCAGTAATCACAGGAGGGTAACTTTATATTCAGTACAAATGTTTATTTTTGCAATGAGAACTGCACAAAAAAACCCTTTAAGTATATAAGTGAAAAGTCTATGAATTCCCTTCTACAAATGTCTAAAGTATTTTAATACAAGTCTCAGATTCACTGACATAATTATTGGCTGAGCGACCCGTGCATACAGTACAGTGGGGGCTTGTACACACCTCTTATTCTTGTATAGGACTAAGATGCCTAGTACTGCAGGAAGGATTTGAAAATGGTCAGAAAAATTAAATAGATCCCAGTTCTAATTACAACCCAGTCAGAGGAACACCCATCAGGAAGGTGTGGAGGCCATTCAAAACTTGAGCAAGAAGGTACAGCTGAAACTATTTCCCCCACCTCAGAAGTGGGGCCCAACATGAGGAAGTATCTGAACAAGAGAAAAACAAGAGGGCGGGGTGTGGTAGAAGAAACCTCAGGACTCAAGCTGTCACTGCAGCACAGTCATGTATGAAATGCCTGGAGCAGGGCAGAGGCTTCTGGGTAGGGAGGAGGTGAGCATTGACTGGTACCTGAACTGTGCCTCCACTGTGAGGTTTGGTCTTTCTGGTTGAGGAGTGGGAGATACGGATTTAGAGTGCTAGAACAGTTCAGTCAACTTGCCTCTGCATACGTCTAATTACTTATCTTACATCATAGAGACTGTTTTTGGGTGCTGGGGCTTGTGTGAACAAGTGGGCACAAGGCGGGGAAGCCATCTGGGGGCTTTTCTCAGTGGAAATGTATTTATGTGTGGGGATACAGAGATACTATTTTGAGGGAATGTACATTACCTAAGAGTATGTGGTTAACCCTGAGCTTAAATCAAATTAGGAGTTAGGTAGAGGCAAGCATGGTGGGAAAAGTGGCCCCAAGCCTTGTGTGAAGAAGAGACTAGGATGGAGCAGGACCTTCAGTAAGAATGTGGTCTGGATACTGGCCAAGTTTCACTGAGCCTCATCACCACCCAGTCCAAGTAGTTACAGGGCGTCTGGCTCCCTATTAGAACGTCAGCTTGTGGGAACTCCGAGCCCAAGAAGCTCCTGCCCAGGAAAGGAAAGGCAGGACTGGCCGCTGGAGAGCGGTTCTGTGCCCACTGTTGGTAAATCTTACACAAAGGTGCCTGGGAACCTGGAGCTAGCCTAAGCAAACTACAATACCTAGTTGGTTCACAAAGAAATTTCAGGGAGACACCAGCATTAAAAAAGAGAGATGTGTTTATTCCATGATCAGTACAGACCAAATGCATATTCACGACATGAAAGTCAAAGCAGTCAGTGACTCCAGAGTTTGGCCAACACCGAGGCACCAGCACTGTGGTGAGACTGGGATCTCATGGCACATGTAACCTCACCAGGGGCTCCAATTTAAAAACAAAACAACACTAATAGGAAGGAAGGCGCAGCGCGCTGGTCTGACCAGGTGCTGGATGGTGACCTCTGTAGCCAACCAGGGCCTGGAGCCCTCCCCAGGCTCTCCCTTTCTTGGTAAAAACAAACAGACTTGACATTAAAAAAAACAAACAAACAAACAAAAAACCCCAAAAAAACAAAACAAAACAAAACAAAAAAAAACCAAAGAAGCCAACAAATAAGGGGTAGAGCGAAAAGAAATTGCAGCTTTCTGGTTTTATAATTAAAAATAAGACTAATAAATTTTGAAACTGAATACAAGCAGGATTTTTTTGTGTGTGTTGGGTGGTTCATGGATTTGTTTGTTTTTGTTTTTTACACCAGTTTGGTGGAGTCACCAACAAACTTCAAACAAAGATATGCCAACTATGTTCACTATACAGTACAGCCACGGTCACACACTACCCACAGTGCAGTGGGACTGCCGCTCAGTGAGGAGACCATCACACCATTTGGAGATAAGCAGTGCCACTCACTGTGTCTGAGGAGAAGAGAGAGTTAAAAATAAAATAGAATTCAACAACAACAAAAAATATATATATATAGGAAAAAAAAAAACAAAATCAGAAACACAGGTGGGAAGGAACTGACTTTGGTTGGTGGCCTTACTCCCCAGGCGAGGCCTGTCCATACATGTGAACAGTCACCTCTGTTCAAATTGCCATGGACACACACACACTTCCACGGCACTATTCCCTTTTGCACAAGCGAACACTTATAGAGAGCGGCTCTCAATTAAAGGCTTGTGGGGGGAGGGGAGAGGGTCTGTTCAAGGCAAAGTCAGTGCCAGCAAGGGGTGGGCCAGTGCCTTGCTGCTCCAGTCCACACAGGCCTGCCCTGGCCTCCTGGGAGTGGGCAGCGATGGCTGGGGTGTGAAGGACTCCCAACGGGTAGGACGTCACAAACGTCATGTTCTCAGGGACAGAAAACCAGTCACGGTGGCGGCAGCAACAATGTCCTGTGTATACTGTGTAGACATTTGGCGCAGAGAAAGGCCTCTGCCCCGCACGCGGGGAAGCAGGCTCAGGTCCAGCCGGCACTTGACTCATGGAGACGTGCTCTGAACCGACGTCCTCTGAGGGGGTGGCATGTGGTAGGACGTCTGTCCGGCTGGCTGTAAGGCAGATGGGCTCTGCGATCCTCAGCTGCCCGTCAGGCCTGCCCCGGGCATAGCATGCAGGAGAGCCAGGCCCAGAGCCATCCCTGGCGGCTGCTGCTGCTGCTGCTTCCACTGCCGCCCTAACACTATAGAGAGTCAACGTTTTTGCCAGAAAAAGTCAGAAGTCACCTGGGTGCTCTCAAAAAAGATTTTCTTCAAATATTGACAAAAGATCACTCTGGAAATTCATGTCAATTGTAGCTGCCATCTGGAGGGAGAAGAAGGAGGAAGAATTGAGTTTAGGGTACCCTGCTCCACCTGTTCCCCACATTGCTTGTGCACAGCTCCAATGTGCTGTCCCCTTATACCCATCCTGGATCTTTTCAGATCCAGTTGTCAGTGAACTAACTCATCAGACCAGGCTGGTGTAGAGCAACAGGCCTGTGCTCACTGCCTACTCTTCCCTCCCTAGGTCCTAGAATCTTTACTCCCAGAATCTTCAAGATGGACTCCTGCCCACAAGTTCCCACCAGGTCCCCCTACTCACTGCCTCCCTGCGCCTCCGCTCCTGCTCTCGTTTTCGGGCCAACTCTCTCTGCTGGTCCAGCATAGACTGGGGCTGGGAGCTCTGGGCCTGGGGGGCGGAGGCAGCGGCCACAGCAGCTGCCTGCTGTTGCTGCTGCTGCTGCTCCTGTCTCTGCTGCTGCTGCTGCTCCTGGCGCCGTCGTGCCTCCTCATGGGCTCGACGTGCCTGTTCCAGCGCATCCTCATCCTCTCGGCTCCTGGGCAGAGCGGGGCCCCAGGTCAGCCTGGAGCCCAGTATGGCCCTGGGAGCCCCAGTGCCCTGCATGGACCCCAGCCCACCTCATGCGCTCCTGCCTCAGCCGCTCCTTCTCCTTCTCTGCGTGCTCAGCCTGAGCCTTCAGGGCCTTTTCCCGCTCCTCCTTCTCCCGAGCAGCACGGCGGAAATGTTCAAAGCTGTCACTTGAGGACTTGGCTGTGGAGGATGGGGTGGTCGGATGCTTCTGTACCAGGCTGGCCCAGGAGCCCATGTTCTTAATTTTCAGGTCCTATATAAGCAGAGGTCAAGTGCTGGGTGAGGGCCTGTTGCACAGGATACGGCAGGAAGCTTATGCCCACCCAAAGCAATCTCAATGAGTGAGGACTTCAGAACACTTAGGCACCTACTAGCCTTACCTTTTTGGGTGCCACTGGTGTTTTTGGCTCCTGTTTCTGTTTGTCCTTGTCAGGAGCCCCTGGTGGGGGTGCACTCTGCTCTGGAGGCCGGATTACAGGCCTCCCTACATCTACAGGCTTCATCTCAGGCCCTAGAAATTATAAGCAATATGTGAGTCTTGGTCACCTGGTGTATAGGTTACCAACCAAGGTGCAGGCAGGGAGGACACTCACGCTGGGGCAGGTGGACTGGGGCCTTGATGTTCTCTGGGTGCTTGGGGGGCTCTGGTCGAAGTGAGGTGCTGAAAGGCTCGCTGCGGATGATTGGTGAGTGAATCTTCTCCTCTTTTACTACCACCAGGGGCTGGGGCTGGACGACTGAGGGTGGGCGCAGCTCCTGGGACAGCATAGGTACGGCAGCCGGTGAGGCAGGTGGGCATCCCTGGCCTCGGCCAATGACTGGCACTGGGGGCTGTGGCTCAGCCCTGCCCTTTACCTGCTTCTTAGGCTGGACGTTTTGCTGGGGAGGAGACTGATGAGTCAGGCTCTGGAACTGTGGCATCTGAGGGGAATGTATCATAAGCGGAGAGGGAGCTTCACGAAGATGACCTAAGAGAACAGACAAGAACTGTGTCAGAGAGCTGGTATATAGGCCACTGGCATCTTGAGAAGAGAGTAATGAAAGGAAGATCAGACTGTACAAAGAATATCATGTGGTCCAAACAAGCTGAAAGTATGGAAACCTACAGTATCTACTATACCTGGTCAGAATATGACATGTCCTTCCTTCTTTGAGGGACTGACACATAGAGTCTGTTTAGTTATGCCCGTATGTTAGATGCACAAAAGCTTTTCTATAGTCCCAAGGTGCTAAGTCTCAAGTTTGGTCCTTCTGCACCTCAGCACTACCCAGGAAGCTTTATTAAACACGTGCCCTGACTCATTAGGTCTCTTGTGTGGTCTGGATGCCAGAGCTTTTTAAAACAACATCCCTTCCCCCATCTCCACCCTGCACCCAGAAGACTCTGAAGTTAACCTGGGTTATTCAAGGGATATCAGTAAATTCTGAAAACTCAACCAGATAATTCACTTTGTTTCCCTGTACTCTGGGTGGCTGCAGAGGAAATGTGACTGCTTAGGCCCTGGAGTGAAGGTGGGCTGCTCTCAACGCTGTTTCCTAGCTTAGTCTGCCCATCCTACAGAATGCAGGAAAACTTGGGATGGACCTGGACAAAACAAGTACAACAGGTCCCAGGGCTCACAGTCTATTACCTGCATCTAAGCAACAGGTCTAAGGAAGCTAGGTGGCCACCTAAGCACCCAGCACGTGTTAGAATAGCTCCATGCCAGCAAAGGAGGTGGTGAGCATTCAGTTCTGCCACTCAGCTGTACCAGTGAGGAGACTAAGCTCTTTGTGTGTAGTCCCTGGAGAACTGGGGAAGCCGAGTCTGGTCCATTCCCATATAGTCTCCTCTCTACGTAAACCCCAGCTACCAAGGGGCTTTGCTCAGGGTCGGAGCTCAGCTAGCTAGAACTGCCTGCGAGCTCATCTGAGTCTCGGACAACCTGGTTTTTGGCCCGCGAGCTGTCAGCTAGGTTCCAACTCATATAACTCCTACAGGACCTTAGGTGGAGCCCTAAGAGAAACTAGAGGAAGGTTGTAAGTTGTTGGCCTAGGCGGCCCAAAGCTGATTCTCCCGCCATCAGTTCACCACCTTCCTTCCAAAGGGTGAGATCAGCATAGCTAGATGGGTGGCCATGTCCAACTCTAGTTTTTCCCAGAGAAAACCAACAGCTGCACTGAGCTTGGGGCATGCAACGATTTGTTGGCCACTTGGTAGCTTGTGTAAAGTACAGGAGCAGTCACAGCGCTACTTTGATGCTCCATCTGTAGGCAGCACTTAGGAAAACTGCACGGTGTATATACAGGGCTGAGCCCGGGAACCGCATCCTGGCCCTCAAATGTTAACTGTAAGATGTTGCTGTAAGCTTTGACTGGAACATTTTCTAGCCAGGGATGGGTTTAGTTATCAACAACTGAAAGTTAATGTGCAAAAACCCCAAAGGGCATGGCTTTAACAACACTGCTGAAGAACGGGAAGTCTGCACTAGGCTGGAGGAGGACAGGGTTCCTGCTTCTGAGTCCCAGCCATATTCACCTCCACGGCCCAACCAATGCCACCTGGGTCTTGCAGGCTTCAGTGCAGAGAGTGGCTACTCCCAAAATATTCTCTAATTCCCAACCTGTTTATCAAATTATCTCCTGCTTAACTCATGGTCAGTCACCTCCAGGAAACCTTCCCTGACTCAGTGCCTTGACTAGCTCCTGGCTTCCATTTAGAAGGAAGTAAGGTCGAGGAAGGTCTTTTTTATGAACTATTTCTGCTTGTGAGGAAGACAAATAACCTGATAAATACAAAACAGGGGCATGATACTCCAATTACACAGTGTCTTCCAGGGTTTGGCTCTGAATCCACTGAAGCCTGGAACACAACTAACAGTGTATTGTTAGAATGAGACACTAACTCCACCTCCAGACTCCCCCGAATATAAGAATAGGGACTACTTACCAGCTGCGTAGGGGTCTGACTTGTGGTGCCGGGGTGAAGGGTGATGCTGGATAACTTGCTGAGGCTTGGCAGGCTGTGGTGGGGGTGGCTGCTGTCCTGGGGGTGGGTGGGTAGGCTGCTGTCCTGTGGGTGGTGGGGGCTGCTGAATGTGAGCAGAAAAGGGCATGGATGGCAAGTGAACTGGTCGTGGTGGGGGCTGGTGTTGTTGCTGGGGTGGTGGTTGTGGCTGAGGAGGTGGGGGTGGTGGAGGCTGCTGCTGGAGCTGCTGCTGCTGTTGCACAGAAGGGTGGGGTGGTGGCGGGAACGGAGGTGGGGGTTGGGACTGCACCTTCACGGAAGGGAGTAGTGGTGTGGGAGGCTGCACCTTCTGCAGCTGCTGTAGGTACAACTGCATCTGCATGGAGGTGAGGGGCGGGGCAGGCGGTTCTTCATCCTCCAGCAGCACTTGGGGGGGCTGAGCCATAGGTGGCTGTGGGAGCAGGGAGGGCTGGGCCAGGGCAGGAGACACAGCTGGGGGTCGGGTAGGCTTTGGGGGCAGAGCGGCGGCTCGGTTGCTGGGCCGAGATGGTTGTTGGGGCAGTGCATTGTGCAAAGCTGGAACAACAAACAAACAAACAGACATGAGGCTTTAGTTACTTTGATTCTGGTCTGGCTTTTCTGCTCTATCCTGACCTTGTCTAGACTATATTGACCACCTTCTGTTCTTCCACTCTATAATAAAGACAGCTCTCAGAAGGCCTATAGGCCTTCCTTAGTCAAATCTTGCCCTATATTCTGTGACTCGTTTTCTGTACAGACCTTCAGGCCGCACTACAGGCCTTTGATATCTGCTCATAGACTTCCATCAGCTTGCCAAGAGGGTAAGCATCCCCACGTCTCTGTCTCTTCCCTCCCATCCATGTTCTCCAAGTTCCACAGGATTAATTAAGAGAACGAGTATGTCTCCTCCATGCCCTAAACAAAGGGCTGCAGACAGGTCCGATCTTTGCTGGCCTAACATAATACCTGGCCCCAAAGAATTAAACTACACATCAGTCGTGTCCCAGAAAAGCAATCGATTCAATCATTGAAGCTGCTAACAGGCTGTTCAGAGTAACTGGTCATGATGCAGTAGAACCAAGGTGACAAAGGGAGAGATAGCCATGGCTCACCTGGAGGAGAGACCACAGCATGCTGGTTGAGATGGGGTGGAGTGCTGTGCTCAGGTGGCTGGGGCAGGTGAGGAGGCAGCTCCGGCTGCGGCAGGTGCAAGATGGGCTGGGTGAAGTGGCCAATAGGGTCAAAGACACTGCCTGGTAGCTGTGGTTCCAGGACGGGTACCTGGGCAGTGATGAAGGGTGGGGGCGAGGACTTCATCGCTGGGGCAGTCTGCTGTGGCATGGAGGGAGGAGGTGGTGGGGGTGGGGGTGGCTGCTGCTGCTGCTGCTGCGGAGGTGGGGGTGGAGGAGGCTGCTGTGGAGGTGGGGGCGGCTGCTGGGGCACAGGAGCTGGGGCTGGCTGCATCTGTGGATGGTGATGATGATGCTGCTGCAGGCAGACAGAGAGAGGCACTCAGGCTGATGTCAGATGGGAGAGATCAGCCTACCGCAGTACCCTCAGCTGAGGGGCCAGCTATCATTGAAGGAGATTTGAAACACATACCTTTTTCTGGTCCCTCCCAGTGTGCCCCTTCTTTTTTGACTTGGGAGCCATTTCTGCAGAGAAAAGAAAAGGTAGTAAGACTCTGGGGAAGAGACCATCAATTGGCCTTGGATGCAGAAGACAAGGACATAGGGCTTTTAGGACAAGGGCTGGTAACACTGAAAATGCATCTGAATAGGGTCATCATAGGGAGAAAAAGATGTGTGGAGTGTCACCTATCCATCTCCCTGTACCTTTCCCAAGGAACTGTGCCTGAAAAATGCCTCAACAAGCTCCAGACCACAGGCACAAGTAAAGGGCAAGGCCCTGGCTAGGTCAGAATTTAAGCACTAGAGACCTTACCATTTTGCGAGCCATACCTTGGATGAGAGTGTCAGCACATTCTGTATTACAACCTGCCATGTTCTGGAATAACTTGGGATATTTGGAATGACCCCAGTTGAGACAAGGCTCCATCCAAAAAAATGAGGACAACCATTCAGGGCCACAAAGCTGAGTCAGCAATTTAGGGTCTCTGGTAGAATTGTGTACTGAGGTGGTCCTTGCCTCAGAGTAAGGAGCTGAGCCTGGGACCGAGAAAGATCAGTGATCCTGCCATGGAGCATAACTTTGACCAGAGCCACAGAGTGGGAAAGGAGAGTGACCCTGAACGAGAACACAGAATGGGAATAGGGGAGCAGCATATCCACCCCAGAATGTCCACGAACAAACAGGGCAGGTGCTCACTGCCAAAAAGATGGCACTGGCCCCTTCTCTTTCTTGGACAAGACAGATGTCAGCGACCGTTCTCTGGACAGTCAGTGTGCACAGAAAAAAAGGAAGGTGTGTCCTGGCTCCTTAAAGGCTGAAGGCCAGTGCTTTTTGTGTGCAAATGTGCCTTTCTCTGTTAAACTGGTTAAAAACCTATGTTCATACCTCTGCCTCCACCTTAAGAGTTTGTAAGATATTTTTACCAGCTGGGTACTCCAAGGGAGGGATGCCAATCAACCAGGTTGGAGGCTGGGCCCCATGGTACAGAGCCTTTCAGGCTACTGTTACTAGGAGTCACTTTTGTCTTTGTTTTGGCCTTTCCCAAGCACCCTGTCAGAACACCAGTTCTTGCTGGTAGTGTCAAGGCTAGCTCATAGCTGTGTCGAAGTACTGTGAAAGGCATGGCTCCTGAGGTGCAGTATGTTACCAACAGAATGATGGGACCTTGTACCTTGCAAGAGCTCACCATTCCATGGCAGGACTGACAAAACAGACAAAGACCTCAGCAGCCACAAGCATGTCCTCACATAAATGACCAAGGGCAGCAAGTGAGGACACCTAGCTTATGAGAATCCAAGGCTGAACCCCAAATTTGGATGTCAGAAAGCAGAGCTCTCTCTCACACAACTCCTTGGGTCAGTAGAAGAAATTTGGTAAGAGAGCTTCATACAAGAAGACATTCAAAAGGGTGTTGTTGGAAAGATTTATAGAATCAGGGCATGGCATTTGGCTATTTACAATGTAGAAACAGCACTAGCTGGAGACCTCACACCAGAAGGATTTGTATGACGAGGGTACACAACGGCTAGAGAGCCAATAATTCAGTAGTTGTGGAGAGAGGAGCTGGAACAGCCATTGGACAGGCTCCTCTATTAGCATTTCTGGTGTCGTTGTAAGAAGGGTGGAGTGGGAAGGGTGACAGACAGGGATCTGGGGAGAGCTGTTTTACAAAAATACTGACTATACTCAAGGTGATCTCAGCAATATACACAAGCTCAGAGATGAAGCTGAACCACTATTGTCAAATGTGATTTGGAAAAGCCTTAGAGGTGGCACTCAGACGCTGAACTGAGTGGGAAAGAATGGGGCTTACTTCCTATTGTCTATTAGCATTGAACATTGTTCTCCTACTTACATAGAAGGAACAAATGTCTCCTGCCTCTCACCACGTGCCTCAAATTAGGGTCTACAAGCCTAGGCTTAGGACCAAGAGCAGTGGACAAAGGGCTTCTGGGAAACCTCAGCTGCGATGCAAAGGTCACAGCAGGAGGACTCTGGGACTCATCTTTAGCAGCCCCTCTGGGCCCGGGTAAGACTAGCAGAGCTGAAGTGTTTTGTGAGGCAGCCCTATGCAGCTCCTATCGCCCAAGCCTTGTGGTGGGTTACCAGTAAGAAGACAAGACAGGAAATACACAGCTTCATGACACACCAGCCCCCTCCCATCCCCACAAAACTCTCTAGAAAGGGTTACATGGAGATGGCCTCAAATACTGTGTGATCTTTATTCCATAACAATCTTAGACTCCAACACAAATTTCATCTTTACATAGGATGGTATTATACAAAGTAAAATGATTTTTGTAAACTCTGATTAAAACACTGATTTCTTCAACCCCAGCCCAGCCCCACTTGAATGAAGGAGACAGGTTTGAGGGCAAGGCAATCGAGGAGAGAAGTGCCCCCCCACCCCAACTGTCCTTGCAGGCACCCCAACAGGATCCCACAGTCAGCTGGTATACTAATGCTTTCCAAGGGGACCTCCCATTGCCCAGGAACAGAAGACTACCAACAAGGAAGAACAGGTGGGACACTGTCCTTTCTGGCTACGTTCCCAGGATACCAAGTACAATTGGTAGTTTAAGGCTAAAGACCTTTCAAGTTCAACAGGTCCTGAGTGTTCCTATCACACAGTAGGCCCACATAGCCAGGGATGGGATTCAGGACAGCGAAGTGTACTCTCTAGGCAAACTGCCCTGTATGTATGCACATGTGTAGACAGGGTGTTGGGAGGGACAGGGGCAGCACATAGCCAAGATACTGTAGGAATGTAGGCTACCATTTGGTCCAAGAGAGCAAAAATCTTCCCAGAAAGATAATGCCAACAGCTTTCCCAACTGTCCTGTGGGAATCTCTGGGCAAGCAGCTTCCCCTCCCTCTAATTCCAGCCAAGCCAAGTTCACTGGGAATATATCAGGCACAGGGCAAAGGGCAGCTCAAAATAGTACGCTTCACAATCTTGAAGCTAGACACACAGAGGACTTGGAATGGCCTAGAAACTCAGCATCATCATCATTGGGGGGGGGGGGGTCCGCAGTGTTATTGTCAATGGGTGTTCTAGGAAGTCTGAGACCCAAAGCCCAATATCAGATACAGAGCAGCAAGCAACCCTTGAATATTGGAACTCTGGAATCTGGGAAGGGGCACCACTTCAGACAGTCTTCTGAGAAGTACATAAAAGCACATTTTGAAAGAAAAAAAGGACAGAAAGAGCCCACTAAAATGGGGCTTTTTATGTCAGGCAGTTTTCTGGTGAGATGCTAGATTTATGATCAAAAAAAGGACCAGGGCCAGTTTTTAGGGAGGAAAAACAAAACAAACAAACCCCATCCCCACCCCCCAAAAAACAAAACATCAACAACAACAACAACAACAAAAACCCAGCCTACTTTGGTTTGTTTCTGGAAAGGTTTGGATGATATGGCCTATCCTTGCCTGCTCTAGCCTCAATAGCTGCTGTCATTATAGGAAGCTAAAGATAAGGATGGTCATGATGGCAATGGAACTTGGAGAGGCACTGTAGGCAGTTCACAAGTAGCCATGGTGTATTTCTTGCCCACTTCCCAGATCCTGACCTGGCTTGACAGTGGGCCCTAATGTGCCTGCATGTCCCCCACCAACAACCTTTTACGTAAGTAAAAGGGTACTTTACTTATGTGATTAGGAGACAAGACCAAAGAACTTGGGAAAATATCCACTAGGGCACTTGAACTTTTAGTGCTCTATGGTGACAACAGAGACTAAAGGAGAATTCAGGAGGCTATGTGCAGGCTAAAGCTGGTCACAGCTTCCATCTGATCAAACCAACCAGGGAGGCCCCACATGGGAGGTCAAAATGTTCATCCTCAGGGTGAATTAGCTTTCCTGGGCTAAAGTCACTGCAAGGTCTGGAGTCTCAGAAAAAGATGGAAGGGACAAAGAGAGGAAACACACTGTGATCAGGCTTTGCACACAGAGCAGCACCACATGTATGCATAGAGGAGGGTTATCATCACCCTCTAGGAGATGCCACCCACCCAGAGGACCCCAGATGACCAGGGAGGCTGGGCAGGATAGCCAGGCAGTCTTTGTACAGAGAGGCCCAGGCAGCAGGCCAGGCAGGCAGCCTTCCTGAAGGTGAGACTAGGTGTGTGCTGCTGGACATGACTAATCCACCCCGGGGGATAGGCCCAGGGCTCTGAGCAATTCCATAACTTGATGGAGTCCTGTCCCTTTCACAGAAGAAAATGGACTTAAGCTATAGCTCGCTGGGAAGGAATCTGGAACTGAAGACCGTTTTATTAAGAGTCCGTGTCCAATGATTAGGCAGGACCTACATAGAGGGAGAAAGAAACCAGTGTGAGAGAATGGTGTGGAATGTACCGTTCAAGTTACAAGAACAGAAGAATTGCAGACTGAGCCAGCATCTGTGCCCCAGTGACTGAAAGGGCACAAGAGGACCTTGTTGGAAACCAAGAGCCCCATCCTTGACTGGCCTGCCTCAGCAGGGATGGATAAATCTGAATCATAGAAAGACCACAGTACATGTAACAAGACTCTAAAATTGTTTCAAGTTTGTCTGCACTTATACACAAAACTGATTCCTGCTAATGAGTTCCATGTGCCCTGCCTGAGTATTTCTTTACTCCTAAAGTCCCTCTTACATATGAGAGGTACCCAAGCTATGTCACCAGCCAGGTGTGTCAAAGACACCAGGAACCAGCTAACTGTTCTTCAGAAAAGCGAAATACCAACCCTTTCTCATAGTGTGGTCAGGGAAGAAAAGCCCCAACAAAGGAGGCAACACCTCCCACTGAGGAAGGCAAAGAGCAGAGCCATCTCTGTCTATTTCCACATCTCCAAAACATAAGTAGAAACTATAAAAAGCGGAATTGGTGACATAGCAATTGTTGAGGGGAGGAAGAGGCCAAAGAGAAAAGGCCTTGTCCTTTGCATCCTTTTTCAGGACATCCAATATGGCTTCTGGTCCAGAAAGGGGTCTGGACTGGTTCCCACATGTAGCAGAGTGGCGCCGCTGCTGGAATTATAAATGTTACAATCCCTAGTCCCAGAACATGCCTGGGAAAACTCCGCCTACTCAGCCTCTTACTGTAGGCTACATTCCACAAAGCTGGCCCTCACCCCAGGGAAGCCCCAATCAATCCCTTCAAACTCCTGGGCTTCTGGAGGTGGTGCCACCTGGCTCTGCACACTCCTACTCTCAAGGGGCCTTATCCCTTTCTGAAATAATTGTCACATTCTGGCAACAGATCACTATACCCCTGAAGGGAATCTCTCAAAGATCCTGGGGCCAGCTGAGGCTGACTTCCTGATCAGCCTCTAGAGTGTGTCTTATGGCCCCTGTCTGAACTTCCCAGCTCCAGCCTTTCCAAAACACCACGCATTCCTCTTTACCCTGGAGCTATTAAGGAACACCCACATGTTCCAATCCTGGGAAAAGGAAGTAAGACTAAAATAGCTGAACTGTGCTCTTGCATGAACAGGCTGCAGTCCCAGAGCCTTCTCACTGTATGGCTCCAAACCCATTCCGGCCTGAGGTGCACTACAGGGGTGGCTCCAGAGAGGATGTATATAAGCAGCTACGTAGCTACCTAAACTCACAAAGACCTGTGGAAAATATGAGGAGAACCAGATATTAGCAATATAATGAGAGAACTACAACAGTCTTAGGACATCCCTTACCCCATATGAGGGATGATCCGATCCTATGCTGGTGACTGGCAGAGTAATGGGAAAGGAGAGTCACAGTGTCTTACCCTGACTTGCCTAGCCCAGGTTTGAAGACTTCCTAGAAGTTGAAAGGAATTGCACCTGGACCTTACTCTGTTTATCCTAACACTGAACTCCTAAGCAGTTCCAGACTCAAGTTAGAATCAAAGCTAAATAAAAAAACAAAACAGCCAAACTATAAATAACTTGGCTCAAGAGAAATGTCAAGAAGGGCTGGCCATTGGTGCTGCTGCTGCAGAAAACGAAGGATCACACAGCAGCTGAAATCCAGCCAGTAAAGCATCCCACCCACTCCTTTGCAGCGTGGTCTAACCCCATGCATCCTTGTACACCCTTCTAGCCCCTACTAAGTGTTTCTCTTCAGGTGCTTTAGATGATTTGTGTCACTGGGGCCATGCCAGTAGAACTGACCCTTAGTACAAGTGACAAAAATAGGTCCCATGAGAAATGTCAGCTTCAATTCAAGTAGAAAATTAAGAACATGAAAAACATAAACTAGATCTAAAGACCAAAGAGAAACATCTTCTGTGTCTACCCTGTCTCTACCACCATCTCCTGCCACGGAGGCACTACCAGTAACTTGTTATAGAGGTTGGGGTTGCTGGGCTGCCTGAACCCAGGAGATCAGCTACTAGAGGATCTGCCTACCTTTGCAACCTGAATACCACAAAGTGCAGTGTCTGTGTGGCATGAGGAGACAGAAGCTGTTTTACTGGTGTGACATTTACTAGTGTATGCACATGTCCATGCATGTGCATGCCCTTCTGTGTGTCCTATGTGGGGCTTAAAACAAAATCTCAGTAGGTCCTAAGTAGTACTGTCAAAAGCCTCACAACACAGAACTGTGTACAAAGTAGGAAACACAAACCAGTGGCCTGAATGCAGTCAAGTGTGAGCCAGCCAAAAATGGGAAGGGTATCATCTGGAATGAAGGAAAGGCTCAGCCCAGGCAGCCAAAACCGTCAGTGCTACATAGCCAACGCCTAAAAGTCTGCAGGTCAGCAGCTCCAGGACTTTAAATTCCACCCTCCTTCCCGCCAGGACAGCTGTTCCCAGGACTCTCGGATTACTTGTTGCACAAGCTTTCTACTTAAGTGAGGAGGCCAGTTAGGAAAAAAAGAAAAAGTCTTCTCTGTAACAGTAGCAAAAAGCTGCTGGAAAGGTCATCACGACAGCCATCAGGGAAAGACAGATGCAGGGCACTCATGTGAGACGACCATAGGAGGACTACCACCCAAAGAAGAGGTTTGTGGGGCAGTGGCTCGAAATACTTGTGAGGGGTCAGAGGTAAGGTAAGCCAAGATGTTTAGCATCAGGTCACGGTCAGTCTCTGGTATTGTCATTTGAACACTTGGATTCTTAGAAGATTGCAAAATCTTAGGAGGGACAATCTAGAAAATACAGGCGGACCCCCCCCCCAAAAAAAAAAGAAAAAGAAAGAAAACAGAGGAAAGGCAAATCTAAAGCTTGGCTGGCAATGAAAGTGAAAAGTCAGTGGCCACCAAGAATGCTAATGGAGCCCCAAGAATACATCTATTCACCCCATTCACCCTACTGAAGGCAGTAGCCCCAGTTCAAGGAATGGCTCAGGGCCAGCCCTACTCAGCAGGCCTAGGATGCAGCTCCCTCTGCTGGTTCATGGGAAAGCGAGGCAAGGTATTTTAGAATAAACGGGAAAAGAACAAAATAGGGGGAGGTTGTGATCGACCAGCTAATTTGCACATGCTGCAGAACACACCATTTAATGGATTACATTTGCTCTGTAAATACATTGCTCATCAAAAACAAGGCAGTACAGAGAACTGTCCTGGGAAGGCCCAAGCCTATTCCATGGCCCACAAAATGTCTCTCCCCCAATTCCAGTCTCTGTGTGCACAGCTGGAGACAACAGGTGTCATCGTTGCTGCTGTCACGGAGCCTGGACTTTCCCTGACATGACCAGGCCGTGACTCCGTAAGTCAAAGATCCATGGAAGAGTGCCAGGAGTCTCTGCATCCACAGGCCCACTTCTAACTATACACTTCACACATCCTAGCCCATTTGAGCCCCCAGAGCTGGCTCATAGGTGGACTATATCGTCTCAGGAAAAGGAACCTGACCTGCCCAAGGGTCACGCTCATGTGAGCCATGTGTCAGGCAACCTAGGTACACTGTGCCTTCTTTCCTACTTTCCCTTGAGGTCAGTGGGAGCACTTGCTCCTCCCAGAACAACAAAGAAAAGTACACCTCCGGGAAAGCAGCTTGTTCCCATCATTACCACCTGCCCTCACCTCCAGCTCTGTAACTGGTGCTCAGAACAAAGGAACTAAACACCACTATATAGGCCCACAGAGCACAGGGATCAGCAGAAGAGCAGGGCATACATGTAGTTAGAGCAGATCTGGGAACTGACAACACAAAACAGCAGTAAGCACACTGTGGAGAAGAAGAAAATGGCAATTTCCATAGTTCAAGCTCAGGCTACAGACAACAGAACTCAAAACAGACTGATCATACAGGCTGTCAACTACAGGTAGCTTGGCTCTACTCTGCTGAAATGTGGCCAGATTTGTTCCCATACCAACTGTAAGACCAGAATACTGGAAGGGGAGTGGGGACATTCCAACCCAAGGTTGATGGGACCCCAACACCTGCAGTCCTCAAGGTTTACCCAGATAGAGAGAACAGAGTGCTGCTACACAGGGCATCTTGCCACCCTGCAGGGAGAAGTTAACATGAAAAGCCCAGGCAGTTCTCAGTGGCCATCAACTCTGGGCTAGACAAAGGACTGAGACAGTACCAGGGATGAGTGGGGTAGCTTGATAAGATGCTTAAACAGGAGCCAGCTAACCTGTTTCAGAGTCTTCACTGTCAGAGGAGCTAGATTCGCTGGTGCTCTCCGACTCAGAGGATGAGAAGCCCTTCATCTTGGAAGAACCAGCAATCACATCAACTTTTTCAGCTGCAACCCAAATAACAGAACTGTATCAGAAAGGATACCAATCCAGACACTTGCTGTTAGCCAGTGTATTCCCAACTACCCAGAGGAAGGACCAGTGGGAAGTCTGAACCCCGTAGGCTTAACGACTGCTCCTTACACTGCTTACAGTGACTACCAATCCAGATCCTGAGTAGCTCTAAGGTTCTGACTGGTAGCCTGCTACATACTAGCTGAAACATAGCATCATGCTACAATTTCAAGGCCTCATCAAGCTCTTTTATAATACCCCCTGAATGGTTTCTCATGGACTCAGAAGACCAGGCAGAGCAGTAATTTCTTCATACAGGTTATTTGCTGTGTCCAGAGCACAGCAAAACAAGCAAAGAGCTCCAAAGTTCTCAAAGCTTTCCTGTTAAGTTGCAAGAGTAAAGCCCATATGCTGTCATTGAACATCAGATTCAGAGCAAAGTTCTGAGGACCTAGAAGTTAGCATGGACCAAGAAAGCAGTATATAAAAAATATTTTGACACATATCCTAAGCTAAATAAACCCTCTAGTACTAAGGGGGAAATTTATAAGCCAATGTAACCCAATTATAAGCCAATAAATATAAGCAATATATTTGCTTATATTTATAAGCAAATATAATATGGAAGAGATATCTGGAAGGCTGATGGCAGGGATGGGGTGGGTGTCACTTCTGCTAGTAAAGTAATGCTCAATACTGTACTAACATCAGTACACACACTAACAGGACATCCAGACACCCCTTCCCTCCTGGCCTCACCTCAATAGAGGTGGGAGATCATTTTTGGAGAAGACTGTATAGGTAGCAACCAGAGATGAAAACAGCTGCTGTTTAGAGCAAGGCTTAAAAGGCAGCTGATTCAGGTAGGTTTCAGCCAGCCACCAGAGATCCAGAAACGTGTAACAATCCAGGGTCTAATACAGTATCATTCTTGAGGTTTCTAAACGCATGGAATTCATAACTGTGTGTGGAGGTGGTGAGTGGGGCTTCATTGCAGAGTGCTGAGTTAGAAGAGGGCTAACTGAGGGTTTCCATGGGAAGGAGTTCTCAACTATACCTTGAGGTTTCCTTTTCTTCCGCAAACAGGAGGTGACATATCGCTCCAACTCTCGTAGTGTAGATGGCTTTAAGGTCTCAAAATCAATCTCAATCTCGTCAGGGTTGGAGTTTTTAAGTGATGGTTCTCTCGACTGAATTATGTGTACTACACGGCCTAGCTTCTCACCAGGAAGCTTGTTGATATCTAGACTTAGCTGCCGCTTCTCCTCGTAAGACATGGGCTTACACTTGTCCTCTTCTTCAGATTCATATGTGGGAGGCGGCTTGGTCTTCGTGGGTGCTGGTTCTTTCTTGCTATGAAGGGATGATATATACAGTTAAGAGTGGGTCCCCTGAAGAAAACTGCACACACCACTCAGAATATATGTGGTTAGGTGTATGAATGTGGGGTGGGCGTTGTTTGACTTCCCACACCCAATAGGGAATGGGATTTAATGCTACTTGAAAATCAGAAAGACCAGAGTAAACTTTGGCAGACTACAGAAGCTGTAGCTGCATAACGGCTGCCTACTGTGCCCTCTCTGGTCAAGCAGTGAGTTACTAAAACTCATTAAGGGAAAAAACTGAGGGAGAAGAACGGCTAAGAGCTTATGGTAGGGCACCAACCCAGATTGATGACTGAAGCCAATAGGGTGGCCTTCCTCCCTACCAAGGATTTTTTGGGATCACCACTTCCAAAGATAGAAAAACTAGGAAACACAGACCTCATACTGCTGTTGCTGCTGTTATTTTTCTTTGTCTTTTTAGGAGGAAGTTCCTTGGTTTTGCTTTTTTTATTTTCATCCACTTCGTCTTTCTTTTTGTGCTTTTCCTTTTTCTTTTCCTTCTTGTCCTTCTCCTTTTTCTTTGGTTTGTTCTGCTGGGGCTGTGAGAGGGCTGCAAGCTGCTCATGCACGGCTTTGAGCTGTGGAGCAAATGGGGCCGTGGGGGAGAAATCACAACCAGGCCAGGCATGATGGAACAGGCCTATCATCAATCCCCTTCCCACATTTGAGAAGCAGAGGTAGGTGGATTTCTTTGGGTTCCTGGCCAGCCAGTGGGAACGTGCCTCAAATGCAAACTAAGGCACCGACTAACAGGACTGAATGTTCTCCTCACTACCTAAGCCTGGAGGCTGGCTCTGTCTCACGCTAACAACTTACACTTGAGTGTTAAGCTCTGGGTATGGTGCAAGCAGAGGACATGCTGGCCTCCAGCCATGGTCCTGCCACATTAAGGAGATCCCTGAAGTGCTTACCCACTCCTTGATCTCCAAGGATCGCTACAGAGAAGCTGAATGGAATGACCTGACAGATGTGGAATCTCCTGGTTATCTTAGTCCCAGGATGTTTCCAGGAAGAAGGTTTCTAAGGGCTAGGTAAAGAGTACACTAGGGCTTGGTGACTAACTCAAAAGTAAGATTATTGTAGGCAAACAGCTCCAGGATCCTGAAGCCTATTCTCACAGAAAACGGCCACACTTCATTCCTATTCAAAACACACAGTATACACATCTATAGGATTAACATGCCATTGAGAAAGAGGAAATGCCACAATATCTTTAAAGAGGTAGTGTTAAGAACATCTCTTAGAAACCTGTGAGAGACCACTACCCTGGCTTCTGCACATAAAAGCACAGATTCCCTCACCTGCTCCTGGAGCTCAGCCAGCCGCTGGGCTCGCTCTTCCTCGGAGTCGTCAGAGGAACTGTCACTGTCGGACGAACTATCACTGCTGCTGTCACTAGATGAGGGCGGGGCTACCACCTTTGTAGGGGGTGGCACTGCAGGGGAGGACACCATAACAACTGGCTCTTCAGGCTCATCAGGCATCTTGGCAAAGCGCATTTCAAACACATCCTGAGGAGAAAAAGCCATGCTTATGTGGGTGCTCAGACTCAGGAATGCCTGGGATCAAGTCAACAGGAAGAGAGCTATAGAATAAATGTATCTCTGTTTCTGTGCACACAAACGACTGATATTACTAAGCATTCATTTCCTGGAGGAAACAGTTACCAAAGTAAAAAACTAGTCTTCTGAGAACTTTAATTTGAGAGTACTCAGTGTTAGGCCACTATCAAGACTCACCAGAGAACATGCCCAAACTTCCTCCTACCAGGTCTATAGTTCTCTGACATGAGGTTTTGCTGGCCTCCTACATACAGAAAATAATACTGGCAAAGGCTTTGAGTTGAGCATTACCAGTAGAGTGCACATGTATATGTGTCTGTATCTGCTTCCCTATTACTCAGAGTGGTCCATGTATGTAACTGAACAAGCCCCTGGCTCATGTATCTCTAGAAACGCTGGCTAGTGATGTAGGGTGCTTACGGCAGGCTTAGGGAAGGGTTACCTTGTAAGGTATAACCAGCCAGAACAGAAGTCACAGGTATTCTGGAGAGAGGAACATACTTTAAGAGACTCTGAGACTACCTGACAGTTACATACGAGTTACGGAACTCATAGAGCAGTAGTCCCTGCTTGTGTTCCTAGGAATCAAATCACACACAGCTAACCACCTGGCAATCTGCACCCCTCACCCATGGTGGGGACTCCACAGCCAATCCAACAACAACTCACAGAATAGACATAGCTTCCCAGAAAGATTTTTTTTAAAAGATCCACTTTAAGAATGGAATAACCCTGCAACCACACCTCCCCCTCCCCCCACTTCTTCCAGGTGCAGCACTTGGGAGAGTAGTCTTGACTGGGCAGCACAGTGAAGCTGGCTTTGGAGATGTTGGCTACAAGTGAGCACCTGAGGGCATGAAAGCTGTCCCTGACTCTCCTGCTGAGGCAGCATGGGGAGGCCTAGATGAGTTCTCTAGAACTTACCCTGGTGGTACAAATAAGGGATAGATAGCCAGTGTGCTGACCAGTTCAGCTACCTCCCAGGCCCAGATCCAGGGCACTGTGTATGCTCAACCCAAACTCAGTATAATCTGTGAACACTTGGGCCAGTCCTGCTGATCCAAAGCTGCAGGATCTCCATACAAAGGACAACAATAGAATAACCGGGAGTCCCAGTGAGGATCCAATATTGATGGTGTCACAGAACATATATGCAGAGAGTCAGTCCCATGTAGGTAAACTGTGTGTGTGCATGCATCAGAATAATAAGCAGGCTTACCTAGCCCAGGCTGTATGTGATAAATAAAGTTCTCTCAGTACAAACTCAAATGCTAGGAGGCCACAGTGTCTAAATTGTCTCAGAAGCCCAGAAGCCAAGGTTGGAGGTAGAAATCCATTTAAAATTTTAGGGTACAAAAATTGAAAGTTCAGTAGGTGGTGCCATAAGCTTGGGATGAAGCTTGAACAAGCATGCATACCCAGCAAAACTTGCCTGCCTCTGGGAACTAAAACAGGAGCCAAATGTCTTTCTAGTTTCTTTCTCCCTATTCAACAATTACAATCACAAGGAATTTGTGACCACCCCTCAACATATTAAAGTCCTTGTAAGCACATGGGCCACAGTTACTACAAATCTTCTGAAATGAAGGGGAAAAGAAGTAGATCCTTTTCTACATAACTTTTCCAAGTAAATTCTAATCTTGCAGCATAGCCTAATTAAAAAACCTAAGTTGGTCTCAATAAATCTTTTTTTTTTTAAATTGTGTTTAGGGTTAGAGAGATGGCTCAAGAGGTTGAGAGCACTGGCTTCTCTTCAAGATGTCCTAAGTTCGGTTCCCAGCAACCACATGGTGGCTCATCTATTTCTGAGACTTGGTGCCCTCTTTTGACCTGAAGGCAGACATACATGCAGGCATGACACTGCATACATAATAAACAAACAAGAAAATAAAGGAATGAATCTTTTTTAAAAATTGTTTTTGCATGTATATATATCTGTGTAAGCATATGCCTATGTAGAGAAAATAGGTTGTGCATACCTGTATGCATAGAGACCTGAAAAGGGCATCAGGTTTTCTCCTTTATCGTTTACTTATTTCTTTGATTTTTTTTTTTTAACTTTTGTTTTTTGAGACAGGGTTTCTCTGTGTAGCCCTGGCTGTCCTGGAACTCTGTAGACCAGGTTGGCCTCGGAATCTCAGAAATCTGCCGGTCTCTGCCTCCCAAGTGCTGGAATTAAAGGCATGCACCACCACTGCCCGCCTACCTATTTCTTTGAGAAAGGACTCTTGAAACTAGGGCTCATGTATTCTTGGCTAGATAATAAGGTAGCAAGGGCTAGTCATTCTACTTTCTTCATCCCCCTCAAAATTGGGATTATAAGCATGTATAGGATGCCTGGCTTATTATGCAGATTCTGAGATCCAAATTCTAGACCTCATGATGCACAGAATGCACTTACTTACCACTTACTCATTTCTTCTGCCCACCTCAATACTTCTTAAAGAAGTAAACAAAGTAAAAGCTTTGTGTCCCCCTTTCTGGCTACTTATAGCATTCTGTGATAGGGCACATTTGTAGAAAAAGAATCTGAAATCCAAAGATGCTATGAAGACAATTGCCTTCCAGAATAGAAACTTGCCTGGCAAAAGATAATGCTAAGATAAAGCAAAGAACCTCCCACCCCTGCCTCAAGTTGATTCTACTCGAGAATAGCCATCTCCTCTATGTCAAGCTTGTTATTAAGTCAATGCCTATGAAGAACTCATCTTTGGAAGTTGCTAAGAGGCAGATAGCTTGGTGATCATAATAAAAATGGCATGCTTGAATAGATTAGTCCACTAAGAGAAGAAAGGTACACAAAAGAATACTTTTAAATAAGACACCAAAATGTAAAACCAAATCCTTCAGAGTAGAAATTATAAAGAGGAAATAGTGGCAAGGTATCAGAAGGACAAGAAAAAAGAATCAGATTGGGGGTAGGGGGGGCCCCAGACATCGTTTTTTTTCTTTCCCTTCTTTAACAGTAATTCTTCAAGATAGTATTTTTCCTTGCTGGCAGGTAAGTGAATTGAACTTTGCAGTTTCTGAAACAGGGGCAAAAATGGGCAAACACTATCGTGGGTTCTCAAGAAACAGTGAGAAAGGAGAGAGGTCCAAAGACCCAAGTCTGAAGGTACAGTGCCACTTGGTGGTCCTGTTTAAGAATTGTAGTCAGCTGAGTACAGTGTAGCCTATCTTTAATTCCAGCACTCAGAAGGCAGAGGTAGGACTAGCCAGAAATAGACAAGAAGAGTACAGTTCAAACACATTAACTTATAAATAAATTTTAAAAGACTGTTGCAAAATTTAAAAGCCTAAATTCCACATAAAGACTAGTAAAAGCAGATATAAAATGGTGAAGGGGCTGCCTTTTTTATGAAGCTGAAGGATAGATAACACTAAACTGGAGAGGGAATGCTAGAGCCTAGTACAATTAAAAAAAAACAAAAACAAAAACAAAAAACCCTAAGGAAGATTTAAACAAACAAACACCAAAAAAAAAAAAAAAAAAACCAACCAAAACCTAAAAAAAACAAAAAAAAAAAAAAAACAAAAAAAAAAAACCAAACAAACACGTACAAAAACCAAACCAACCAACCAACCAAACAAACAAACAAACAAAACCAAACATAACCTTCCAGGTGCTGGAGAGATAGCTTAGTGGTTACAGCATTGGGTGTTCTTGCAGGGGATTCTGGTTTGGTCTTTAGCACCTTTAAGGAGGCTGGAAGCTCACAACTCCAGTCTAGAAGATCTGCTACCCTCTTTTATACTCCACAAGCCCCAGACATCTGATAGTCAAACCACCAATACAAATAAATGTAAAACAAACAAAACCAAACAAACAAAATCCCGATAGATCTGATCATGCATTTGAATTTTAAGAGCCAGTTCAACACTAACAACAAAGAACAGTCAAGCTACCCTTGAACTACCCTTGAATCTGACATGTTCTCTGAACTGAAGGCAACTCATCAACAGAAACCAAATGGCAAAAATGCCTTAACTCTGGTGAAAGGAGAAAAGATGCTCTCATGTGACACATTAGTAAAGCTAACAAAACAGTATGGAGGCAGGGAATCACTAAAGTTCTAGTGACCTCTGTGTGGCAGAGACCAATGAGTCACGAAAAGCTTTGCAAATCTCTGCCCTGGAAATACCTAGAGACTGCTATATAAGCAGACCCAAGGAAGTCTTGAGACCCACAACTAACATACCTGTCCTTCATAATAAATAGCAGGTTGCTCAGCAGACCACTGACTGACCTGAGAGAAGTAGCATCCCATGAACTAAAGAAAAAATGACTGGGAATTAAGATTATATGTTTTCTTTAAAAGCCAGGTCTGGGCGTTATAGAGAAGGCTAAATGGCTAAAAGCACTTGCACCTTATAGGTCTATGTACTTTTCTTTTTAATAAAAGCCACTCCTGGGTTGCGGGGGAGTGGGGGGAGACAGACAGCAAACAGAACCAGCCGCTCACATTTAAGTTAATGACCCTAACTTAAAATGTATGCATTAGGTGAGTTACATATGCTCAGAAGATCGAGGCAGGAGGATCTCTGCTAGTTTGATGCTAGCCTGGTCTATGTTAAGAGTTCCAGAACAGTCAGGTCTACATAAGAGACCCTATCTCAAAAACAAACAAACAAGAACAAAACTTCCTCCAAGCCCCACTGTATTATTATGAGTGAAGTGACAGAATAACTACCTGCCAAGGTCTAGACAAGGTCTGGTCTAACCTTGTAGCCTTACCTGGAGTTTTCGAGCCATGGCTACCACTTCATGGTCAGGGGGGTTATACTTGTAGCAGTTGGAGAACATCAATCGGACATCAGCACCAAATTCCTGGGCATCTCTGTATTCCCGAGACTCTAGTTTAGACTGCAAATACAAAATAGGTCCTAATTAGACACTTCTGTTCATGTTTTAATGGTGTGCGTGTGTACACATTCATGGCTACTTGTGGAAACAAGGTGGCTTCTTAGTGGCTCTCAGCTGAATCCAGGATAGAGTATGGATTATGGGGACAAAGAGGAACAATAGGCTATCACTCCAGTTCTCAGCATGAGACAGGTACAGAGACACAGCTGCCCAGTCTCAGGGCTAGGAAACGATGTTAATACCAAGCTTACCTACTGAGCTCAGTACAATGTCTAAAGGGAAACTGAACACACAGAATCCCAGAAACCAGAACTGATGAGAAAATAAAACAAGAGTTCTGATCCTGCATGTGCTTATACTGAAAGTACAGAAAAGAATACAAGTTGGACACAGCATTGTCTCCTGTTTGAGCAATATTTTTCTACTTCCAGAAGGAAAAAATTATAAAAGTCCTTAAATAAAATACTTTGGTGATGATGTTGGTAGATAGTGCTGTGCCTTCTACAGATGAGACAGCAAAGCCTTTCTTTCCCAACACAGAGTACCCAGAGTCTCCTAGACCATCTGCCAGGTGCAAAGAAGTACAGGGGCACTGAGAGAGCCCTGCATCTCCTTACACCAAGGAAAGAGGCAGAAACCTGAAACCAAGTACTCTAGGTTAGGGTTCATTTCAACAATGAACCAGCAGGGGGCACCCAAAACTTTATTGGATTAGTCTAGGAGAAATCCTGTCTCTGACCACCATCCCAGGGTCCTGGTAGCTAACCTTGATTGTGCTCATGTCCATGGGATGTTTAATGATGTCACAGTAGTCGTGCAGACCCAGTGCCTCCACATCCACAGGCTTGTAGAAAGGCCAGGCATAGGCAGCATGTTTCTTGGCAAACATTTCCTTGAGGATGCCACTGCAGCACTTTAGCTGCTCAGAGATCTTGCTGCTCTTCTCTGGCCCTGGGTGCTGCTGTGAGTCTGGTACATCCTTCTTTGGGGGCTTCACAGGTCTGCTGCTCTCCCGCCGAGGACCCAGCTTGGCGGTCTTGGGCTCTGGGGCCAATGAGGACGGCTCATGAATGGGGTCGATGGTGGTGGGAGTGGTGGTATCTGCTTTCCTCTTCACCCCTTTCTTTGTCTGCCATGAGCACAGGCACAAAAGTCTTAATCAGAGGCTCTGGCTGGTACAGCTGCTCTTCAGGATCACCACTGAAACCAAGCCCTCACTAGGACCCCAATACTCAGGATAGGCCCAAAAGAGACACTGTCACATACAACTGTTTTCCACAGCTGGAATAGAACCAGCCAGCAACAGGAAAAAAAGCACAAAACTGAATAGAGTATTTGCTGCCTTAGAGGCCACAGAACCTCCTGAAGAGGTTTCCTGCTAAATACCTGGGCCTTGACCACACAGCCCATAGAAGAAACAACTAATAGAAGGCTACAAGCCCGTCTCTGTTGGCAGCACTCCACCAGTGCCCAGGATGCTCACCTTCGTAGGCTGTGGGGTGGTCGCAATGATAGGTGGGTGACTCTGCACAGGCTGTGGAACTGGAACAGGTGGAGGTGGTGGCTGGGGGGGTACTGGTGAAGGAGTCTGAAGTGGCTGGGGGGGCACCATTGTCATGACAGGAGGCTGCGCAATGAGGTCTGGGGTGACAGCAGGAAAGGGGTGAGTTGTGGCCTGCACAGGTTGAGGAGGGTTCTGCTGAGGTGTCTGGGTTTGCGGAGAAGTTGATGCTTGAGTTGTGTTTGGTACCGTGGATACACCAGGCTTTGCTGTCCCTAACAATCATAAAAAGGATAGGAAATTTAAAAGATATGCTAGCACACACTGGCTGACCCTGACAAAACACCCATACATATTTGTGTAGTACATTTGTTTAGTGATAAGACCACCCGACCATCCGGAACACTCCAGATATCACTATGCACCAAACGTATCCCTGTGTCCCCAGGGTTGAGAGGGAAGCAGCATTCATGCTACATTTCCTGAGGTGTCCTGGTGGCAACTTCTCACTCAGATACAAGCTGTCACAAGAAGGGAAACAAGGGCTAAAACAGTAGGAAACGTATACACTATGTTAGCACCAAAGTTGCACATGGAAAATTCAGAAAAATGTTCCTTGGGGAATCCAAACAGCTGTCCTCATTCCCTTCAGAGTACTTTTGGCAGGATCTGGCAGCAGTCAGCCTTGCAAGGTGTCTGAAAACTAGGTTGATCTCAACTCTCAGAGCCACTGGGGACTAGTGGACAATTTTGACTACCCAGGTTGTTTCCCTGCAGCTGTACCGTAACTTCCAACACAAAATAGTCACATGGCACACCAAATCAGAATTAAAAACAAAGGATTTTAACTACAGCTCATATGTGAGCAGGTGGACCAGGGAGTATCCTGTACTGCCAAATCCTTTGCATGCAGACGGAATGACATGGAAAGAAAACAGACCCAACACTCTATAAAACAAGTCTTTAAAAGCCTGTAATCTCAGTAGTGAGGAGGCTAAGGTACAGGGATTAAGGTTTTGGGGCCTGCCTGGGCTACGTCAATAAAAACCCTACCTCAGGGAGGGAGGGAGGAAGGGAGGGGAAAAGGGAGGAGAGGGGGAGGGGAGAAAAAGTATTCTATTTCTGTAGGCTGTAGAGCACTGTCCAGGAACCATATGAGGAGGAAGGGGGATGTTCTAATGAGTTTCCCAATTTTCTTTCTAATCAACAAGCCTGGCATATTCCAGGACTGATAGAGAAGATTCCCGTGCCTGTTCCATAGTCAAATAATCAAAACTGTTAGTCCCAGAAAGTGAAGAGTAGGCTCTGCATGTTACAGATAAGGTATGTGATTTAATATGTGTACCTGCCAAAAGTTTTGAGTATTAGTGAATATGTGTAATAACAATACTCAAGAGGCACGAAGATTTTGAGTCTGAGTTAACAGAGGGAAGGAGGAGGAAGGAAAGAAGGAAGCAGGGTGGAGGCCAAGAGGGAAGTGGTGAGTGGAAGGGAGGAGAAAGGAGAAAGGAGTGGGAACATACATGTGAATGACTGGCTTTCTTTGGTAATTCCAAGAGCTACTTTGGATTCAGTGGTGCCCCGTCTCTTTGCCACTTTAGAGGGATGGGAGGCCAGGCTAAAAGCATCTCTTCAAAGAAGCAAACAACTAACAACCAGGAGTCACCTGAAAAATGTCACCCTTTTGCAGCTCAGAACCGTTAAGTACAGGACATAGTATCTGTTAATAGCAACTTTGCCAGATGGCTGCTTTTTGTTAGTAGTATTGCAGTTGGGAACTGGCAGGCAGGAAGAAGTAAGTAATTGGCTTCAGATGAGTGAGAACCAGAGGCAAACATGACTGGCACAGTGCATTAAGGGAATTCAGGTAACAAACCTTAAAGATTGGGACACTAGTTACAACAGCTTCTGTCAGAATAATTTCTTTTTCTTTTTTTTTTAAAATTTATTTTATTTATGAGTACACTGTCGCTGTCTTCGGACACACCAGAAGAGGGCATCCAATCTCATTACGGATGGTTGTGAGCCACCATGTGGTTGCTGGGATTTGAACTCAGGACCTCTGGAAGAGCAGTCAGTGCTCTTAACCGCTGAGCCATCTCTCCAGCCCCCAGAATAATTTCTTTATTCTAAAATGGAAAAGCAGGGCTGGGGGTATGAAACTCAGTGGTGAAATACTTCCCTAACCATGTGAGTGGTGCTGGATTTGAGCTTTAGCACCACAAAATAAATAATAAAATTGAGAGAAAAGCAAGAAGCATCTACAGCACTAAAGGTGAAGAATTCAAACACCAAATGCTTGGAAAAGCCATGCTTTCTTTTATACCTAAGTTCTTTTATACACTCAGAGCCCAATGACTTTTGCCAAGGGGAGACTTCAGACCCATGGGACCTCCTGGGAGCATAGATATACTGGAACTAACCCCACCCTGTTAAAACAACAGCAATGAAATATTTGCTGTCACCACCTGCCTCCCTGTAATCACTAGCACTCTACTAAACTTGGTAAGTAGGCAAAGATGAGGGAGAAACACAACTACCTGCTTCTTTCCTCCCTCGTCCTCTTCCTTTTGCCTGGACTATCATGATCTCAGTTTCTTCTGTAGGCAGTTCATTGATTTTTTGCAAGAAGAGCTTCTCCAGAGCTTCTGCCATTAAGACGATGTCATCTCCAGGCTGGATGAGGAAATAAGTGGGGTAGAGCTGGAAGGCCCCTTCTTCCCATCTCTGTGGACGGGACACCAAGGCCACCCCCATGCCCCAACACATGGAGCATTGTACCCAGGCTCCTTCCATGATATGGACTCCAGGGGCCATAATGTTTATGCTACTTGGTATTCCTAACAAGACCTATCCACCTGAATCTCCCTTCAGTTTTAAGCTCCAAGAAACTATCCTTGTGCCTTATGTACCTACCACCTCAGTCAATTTCCTAACGGGAGGCCCTCCTTTACTTTGGGATTTCTTCAGATACAACTCAAACTTACTAGAAATACTCAAATTACACAGCAATTTTTTTGGGGGTGGGGGGAGGTGATGAATACTTTTTAGGATTCCAACAGTGCTCCCTAATGTACCCCAATGGCAGCTCAGTGAGGTTTGAACAAAGCCCTCATCACATTGCCTTATGGATCCCCACTCTGTCACCACGTCCAGAACATGCTGTCCCCGTTCAGCTCTAACTGAGGGCCTAGTCTGTACATTTTAATTTCCACCTAAGTGGTGAGAACTAAAGCTTTACAAAACACAGTAAACTTCAAGAAACTCACCTACCCATCTCTTCTGGGCAATTTTACCCACTACACGAGCAGAGGTCAAAAGCTGAGTTCTGTATAGTGTCTCCCTCCAGAGTCGTTCTATTTGAAAGGGTTGGTTTTAATCACATCTGTGGTCTGAACTGTAAACAAATGATCTGGCTTCATGGCACAGCCGAGCCGAAAGGTTTGGCTACGGGGTTAGAAGTGACCCGTGGGTCTGTATGTAAGACCAGGAGGACACTGGATCTTATGGCCATGTCCACAGTTCCAGGAGACTGTGACCCACAGAACAGCTGGGGTCTGCAGCTAGCCCCACTGTACTGTCTCACATCAAGGTTTGTGCCTGAGCACACCTCTACAAAACTCTAAGTTGTGCAGGCTCTTTTACCTGAAAATTTACACCATCCCAATGGGCCATCTGGTGTCATCTGTCCTCATACATTTTCTACTAGACATGCTCAAGAACTAAAATAAAAACACCAGGGTACTCGAGGCAGATGCTTCAGGCTAACAAGGATAATGCCCTCCTCCCCACAAAGGAAATACCCAATCCTATGCACAATTACATGTCCCGTTATCCTAATTCTTTCTGGAAGTCTCTTGCTGTCACACTTAGAGCCCAGCTACCCCACCAACCCTGCCCGCCCTTAAGACTCCTGACAAGCATGCCTATTTTTACTTCCCCTTCTTCCCAAGCAGAGAAAATGGACCTCTACCCCCAACATCTCACCTTGTTATAGATGTAACAATTTGTAAACATAGTGTTGAAGTCCTGGATACATTCCTGAGCATTCCAGTAATAGTTGTTTTCCAAGCGCTTCTTTATTGTTCCCATATCCATGGGTGTTTTAATGATCTTATAGTAATCCTGAGGAGCAGAGAAATCAAAGGCCAGTATTACTGGGGCAGCCATGGCTGCTTGGGTATGTGAGCCCTGCCTTAGTAACTCTACAGCCAAAGATTTTCCCATGGTATCACTGAAGAACTGAATGTGAAGTGGGTAAAGGACAGATTCCTAAATACTAGATGGCAATTTGTACAGCGGAATGTACAAGCTAACAGGTTGTCTTCACAGGGGGAAAAAAAAAAACCACAAATACTTTCTTCTAGCCGGGCAGTGGTGGCACACGCCTTTAATCCCAGCACTTGGGAGGCAGAGGCAGGCGGATTTCTGAGTTCAAGGCCAGCCTGGTCTACAGAGTGAGTTCCAGGACAGCCAGGGCTACACAGAGAAACCCTGTCTCGAAAAAAAACAAAAAATACTTTCTTCTTACATAAAACAAACAAACAAAAAAGATAATTTAGTGTATTCACAGTGTATTTTGATCAGTATCTGCCTTCATCTCCCAATCCCATCTAGGCCTCCTTGTTTCCCTTTTTAAACATCCCACTAAGTCAAATCAGTGATGTCTGTGTGTGCAAGGATAGGACTGTTAGGGGCATCAGCAACCTCCCAATAGACATCTCTCCAAAGAAAGCTGATTCTCCTTCCTCTCAGCAGCCAATTATTACTATCTCCTCAAGTAGGGATGGAGCCTTATAAGCTCCCCATCTCTTTGGGGGTGTTAAAACATCCCTTCCTTGTAAGTATCAGGGAAGGCACACAACATTTAAAAAGCAGCTCTTGGGGATAGAGGGACCAGGAGAGCAATACTATTCCAAAATTAAAGTAGGTAATGAAGTTTTGAGATGTGCTGACACCCAAAAAGAAAAGGCTACTTATTGTCTATGCAAGAGGAGGTACATTCAAGCATCTTGCTCTGGTAAAGGCTACATCTGTACACCCAGGCCAAAAGGCAACTGAAAATCAGACTTTCTAACTTATTTCATGTGCTCCCCTTCCTTCCTTAAAGAACCAAAAACAATAAACTAACACCTATGGAAATCTAAATATTTTTATTCTGTGGACAAAAACTGTAAGAACAGTGTTTAGACCTGCACTGGCTAGTGTTTCAAGTGGCTCAAAGACAGAAGGACAACATTAAAGGGCAAGCTGAAGAGCAGTGGGATAAAAGAATGTTGGGGGAAAGAAAATAAGAGCTAAGGCAATGGGCTTAAGGCATGAGGTAGGCCAAAGGTCCAACTGCATGTGAAGATATAAGGTCCCCAGAAAATACAAAAGGGGGACCTGAAAGGTGGCTTTCTAATAGTTTCTGAAAAGTATGAGCTATTATGGCACCAGCTGATTAGGCCCCAGGTCTATTCAGATTAAGAACCTTGAGATCCCTCTTGTCCAGTAACTTTCCTTTGAAGACATCAGTAGAGGTATACACCTGCAATTCAAAAGTTAAGGAGGGTATAGAGTAAAAGGACCAGACCTGACTATGTAACAAGTTCAAGGCCAGCCTAGGACCCTGTCCCTTCGTTTTTAAGAAGGCTACTAAATCTGGTAACAAAAGAAGAGAGGTAGGATCCACATCATCCAAAAGAGGGAAATTCAGGTTCACCTTAAGGAGTTCCAGCTTTGCACTCGACAGATTTTCAACAGATAGGCATCACCTACCATATACTTACTTACTGGCCAGGATATTCCCATAACCTCACTTGAGTCCCTTAGGAATCCCAGCTTGTTCCTGTGACCTCACCTGAGTCCCCTGGGAATCTGCTTTGGTTGGACTTTGCTCCTTCTTGACTCTGTGCCTCTGCCCCTATTAAATCTATTAAAAAAACTGATCTAAGAAAACTTATTTTCTATTCTAGCCTGGACATACGTTTCCTTCAAATCCAAGATTCTTCAAATAGCAGTTTCATATCCTCATTATTTCATTCACACTACCACAATCTGGTTTTGACTTCTATGTCACATCTTTCTAAGGCTATTGGTCTTCTCACAGCCAACAGGATCATAGTGTGGAACTCTCATCGTTTTGATGTCATATTCTCTGATATAGCAATCTGGGCACTACTGTTTGCTGGTGATTATTTGGCCTCTTCAATAAGAGCTCTCCTTGCCCCTATTCTCATAAAGTTTGGAAACCTGCCTTCTACTCCCAGCTCCTTATATCCTATTTGACCTAAGAGTGTTGCTGTGGTGGTCTAATGAGAACAGCTACCATAGGCCCATATACTGAAATGTTTGGTCCCTCATTGATACACTGTTTAGGAAGGATTAGAAAGTGTGGCCTTGTTAAAAAAGGTGCTACTAGGGGAGGGCTTTGAGATTTCAAAAGTATACACCAGGCTTGGGGAGTCTCTTTCTCTCTGCTGATCAGGTTGTAAGCTCTTAGCTACTGTTCCAACACTATACCTGCTTGCCAACATACTCCCAACTATGATGTGCATGGACTAACCCAATATTCTGAATCTGTAAGAAAGTCCCCCAATGAAATACTTTAAGCTGCCTTGGCCTTGGTGTCTCTTCACAGCAAAAGAACAGTCACCTTTTCACCTGTAGATGTTCAATATCCCTGCTATAGACTATTGCAATTAATCTCAAGCAGGCTCCCGAGTGACCTGCAGGACCCTACTGCCAGCTGCTTATAGTGCTTATCTTAGTCAATGGTAGGCACTACCTTCTCAGACACATCTCTTTCTAGCAAGTTCATGACCCAGGTTTCTTGTCTCTTCTCCTAAGTCCAAAAGACATATATTTAGTGGACAACACAGTTATCAAAACTGTGATTTTCTAGACAGGTCAGAGTAGGTTATCACATTTTGAAGAATTTGAACACCTATCATTAGAAAGAAGCTAGGCCACCAACTCCACATGAAGGAGTTCTAACCCTCATAGACCAAACCTGGATAACAGCTACCATCACATAGCACAATTGCCAGGGGGCATGGAACCTAATACATACCAGAGAGTAACTTAGAAAACCTTGGCTTCTGAAGGGAACTATGAAAGCACTTGTCTTAACCATTCACTGAGGCTCAGTGAAGTAGTTCAGATTGTAGAGCTGTCTGCTAGGGATATGTACAGATGGGACACCCCCCCGCCCCGAAAGACAAGACCAAGTATATTGGAGGGGAGATCCCCAGGGGACAGCAGCAGTCCCCTTCAAACCCCAGAGCCTGTGTGCATTCACTCCCTAGGAGATAGTCTACTATACTATCTTTCCAGCTGAGGAGTGCTTTGGTGATGCTTCAAGTGATTGCTATTGCAGTAATCTCTGCACAGGCTGACCAATCACAGCTAAGGAAAATGCTTGAAGTACTAGTTGGGCTTCTGACATCAGCTCACCCTGTTTTAAACTTTCTCCATACAACTTGTGTCCCAATTAACTAAGAAATCAGTTAATGTCTAGCCCAGTTAGCTTCCTTTTTCTTTCCTGTTTGATTTTCAAGTCTACAACAACAATATACTGAAAGGCCACTGTAGACACTGGTGTTCAGAGTTCAATGACAGCCGGGCGGTGGTGGCGCACGCTTTAATCCCAGCACTTGGGAGGCAGAGGCAGGTGGATTTCTGAGTTCGAGGCCAGCCTGGTCTACAGAGTGAGTTCCAGGACAGCTGGGACTACACAGAGAAACCCTGTCTCGAAAAAGCAAAAACAAAAACAACAACAACAAAAAAAAACAACAACAACAAGAACAACAAAAAGTTCAATGACTTCAAATCCAGAGTTCAATGACTTCAAAACCAACTCTACCCTTCTGCGGAATCTGCCTTCACCAGGAGAGACTGGGAGTGGTGGAAGCCATAGCTGTCCAGACAGCTACTCACAGGGAGGTTCAGCTTGACGGCATCCACAGGCTGCTGGAAAGGCCACGCAAACTGGTGTTTCCATAGTGTCTTGAGCACCACTCTGAGCAGATATTGCAGTTGGTTGGTCTGCCTCTTGGGCTTGTTAGGGTTGGAGGTCTCTGGGGGTGGAGGATTGGTGCTGGCTGCATTTGCTGGCTGGGGTTGGGCCTGGGCCTGCGTTGTAGACATTTGGGAAGTTTCTAGTCCATCCCCCATTACTGGCAGATTTCTCAATCTTGTCCCAGGGCCGCTCTCCGTAGACATGCTAGTGGTCCCATCACATTCTTCACGAGGCACTCTACACAAAAAGAAAACAAGCCCCATCAAAGACCAGATAGCACATAAGTCAAACTAGAAACCCTGGCTGCAGACTCCAAATATTTGGCTTCAGTGGTATTACCTGGTCAGAGTGGCTGGGAGAGCTATTCCACCCTCCAACTAAAAGAGCCCTAGTAATTATCTCGACTAAGACCAGCCATCTGGTCTTGGTGATGATGGCCGGTAATCCCAGTTACTCTGGAGGCTGAGAAAGGTGGTTTTGTCAAGTTTAAGACCTATATGAACAACTCAGTCAGATCTGTATCTCAAAATAAAATAAGGGGACTGGGTGGATATACCTCAGTGGTAGAGTGCATGCCTAGTATATACAATCCCAGTACCCCCCCCAAAAAAAGGGGGGGGACCATCTAGCACAGAAAATAGGTATTACTATCAACAACCAGGGCAGAGCACTAAGTAGAACTTATCAGGAGCAAGAGAATCCACCGGGAACTACAGAGAGAAGGTATGATAAAGCTATGTTTCATAAACTTGCATGGCCCTTTGCCCTACAGACCTTCAGGGGATGCTGGCTGTGTGATGGGATAAGATAACGTAAGCCCTTGTTTATATCTGTGAATTATAAAGCACAAAATCAAATCAGTACTTCTATTTAGACCAGGGGTACACAAGAAAAGAGCAGTAAGATGAGGCTTATACACTTGGCTTTGGACAGCTTCACATTTACTAAACATTTTTCTGGGTAATACTCAGATAATACATGTTTAACTGAGAAAAAAGAAATTTCATGAAAAGGTACTGGGCTCATTAAAAAAATTCATACTTGTCTAGTCAACCATCCCAGTGAAAAAACTAAGGTTTATAAATAAACCACGGGTGAAGGAGTAGCAACCTCTCCTGCTCTGATCCCCAGCTCAAAAAGAGTAAGTAGGATAAAGAAGGGCTTCATGGATATAAAACCTTGACCTGGTCTCTCTTTGACATAGCACTAGAGATGGTGAAGGGGTACCAAGAGCTGGAATTAAATGTGCATCTACCTCACGTAAGTCTGATGGTGGTAATGATAAAAGACCAGCCAGGCAGCCTGTGAAAAGCAACCTAGAAAGTGAAGAGACAACTAAGCTATGAGTTCAGAACAACTTTGTTGGAGGGTAAAATACTGCGTTAGTCTAGCTAGTATTGTGGATTATGGATTATGCTAGATTCTTTCCTTTAAACTGGGGGCGGGGGCGGGGGGGAGAGGAGGAAGACAGACACACTCCAATAAAGCTAAAAAGGACAGACCTCCAGTTTGGTTGCCACAATCAGATTTCTCCTAGAAAGCTTAGGACATGCTTGTAATCCCAAAACTTGGGAGGCTGGGGCAAGATCATGAGTTCAATGGAACACACAATTGTCTCAAAGAATATATGAACACACACACACACACATGCCCTCCTGCTCCTTTTGATGCTATATGCTGAACATGTGCCAAGTGGGCAAGTAAGGGGCAGGCAGGCTGTGGAGCAAAGAGACAGGCTAACAGCCCAGGGCTCACATTCTCACCCACCACAATGCTGTTACTATACAACCATGGGAAATGAAATGCTCTGGGAATTAAAAATCCACCTTCACTGCAGTGACCTCCCACCCTCAAACAGAAACAAAACAAAAACAGCAATGAATCAATCAATCAATCAATCAATCAATAAATAAAATAGGAAAAACGAACAATACCTGCCCCTGGGGCAAGGAAATGAGGCCTAGTGAGGGTGACTTATATTTAGTCCCTTGGTGAGTTCTCCCTTTAATGTTCTCCTTACTAGGCCTCACTATCTATGCTCCACAATATGACTACTGCCATCCTTGTTACCTTCAGAACTTTTTCTTGCTATCTCTGCTAAAAGCACGCACACAGAGTGACTCTTGAAGCAAGTCTTCATTCTTGTTGTTTTCCCTCTTTTTTTTTTTGGGGGGGGGGGTACAGTTAACTTGTACTGATGGTATTCAAGATAGGGAGGGCTCTGGGCTGGAGAGATGGCTCAGTGGTTAAGAGCACTGGCTGCTTGCTCTTCCAGAAGTCCTGAGTTCAATTCCCAGCAACCACATGGTGGTTCACAACCATCTGCAATGGGATCCGATGTCCTCTTCTGGTGTGTCTGAAGACAGCTACAGTGTACTCATGTAAATGAAATAAATAAATCTTAAAAAAAAAACAAGATCGGGAGGGCTCCCTGACCCCCTCCTGATATTATGGGGGGTCTGGGATGGAAATTGTGAGGGAGATGCTCAGTGTTAGGGGCCAAGTTGGGACAGGGACTCCTCAGCATTCTTTGACACAGAGGACTGTTACTGTAGGGCTTCTGGCTCAGTCTCACAACTCTGAAACAGCAGCATTTATATGGACAATGTGGTAACTGTCAGACTCAGCCATTTACTTAGCCAGTATGTCTCACTGGAGCTATATGGCAGTCTGTGGCATTTAGTAATTGACAAGACATTCTGAGTTGATTAAATAACCCTTTAATCAATACCATAAAAAAGTCTGGGCTGCTGCTCTAGCCATGGGCAAGGAGAAAAGATACTGTACTGATGATGACAAGGTATACTACATATGCTCCCTGTGGTGAGGGAAGTAGAGACAGGTCTCATCAGTACAGTGACAACAGAGGCACTGATCTAGGCAAGACAGACAGTGCTTTTATGAGGAAAAAAACAGAACAGTAGCTAAGAATCTGACAGTTAAGGCAACTGTTTAAGCCAACTTAGGGGGTCAAAAAAAAGTTGCCCCCCTTTTCACTTTCATTTCTGACCTGTCAGCAAGGGGCAGAAGGCCCCACTTACTAAGATAAGAATTAGAAGATAGTCAAGGGACAGAATTCTCTAATTCCACATATTGTTTTCAACCTTAAATGCTCATGACCCAAGGGAATATCCTGATTCTGAATCTGTTCCAGAAGAAATCCTGTAATAACCTGTTTTGAGTTTAGAGAAATAAGATGAAAGATGAAGCAAGGGTGGGTGGACAGTGTGGTACTAATACCAAGGTGTCTCAAGGACATCATGTAAGTGAGAAGGTCACTGTAAGCACTAACACAAAGCAATTGGTCTTTTGTTAGGCTGTAGTATATTTCTTTCAAAGGTGCTGTAATTTCTAAAGCTTAACACCTCATTGTTACTGTAATAAAAAGTTATCACAAAGTCAATATAAAGGGGGGAAGTAGATGGTGCCCACAATTGTTCTCAGTCTGAGAGGTTATACTTACTGTATAGTTTTTGAGACAGATGGTCATTAAGAAGTAACTATAATGACATACAGATAAAGTATGTTCTCCTTTCAAAAAAATGATTTTTCCAACAGCAACACAGCTCTTGGGGCATTAGCAGTTCTACAAAACTAGTGAGTGCTTCCTTTGGCCTGTGACCATGTGAAAAGAATTTCAATGTGTGTAGGCAAGTGTATATATACACTGTGCCTGCACGTAGAGATCCTTGGCTAACTTGAAATTACCATCAATTATGCTTCCACATTAATTCTCTGAGACCCCCCCCCCAAAAAAATCAATCAAGCCTAGAGTTCACTAATCAGTAAGCAAGTCTTGCTAGCCAACTTGCCCCTGTGGCCACTGTGCCACAGGGGCAGTCAGTTTCTGAGGATCTGAACTCTAGTCCTCATTCTTGAGTAGCAAGTGCTTTAACCTCTGAATTAGTGGGAATATATATATATATATTAAATGTACTTGTACATGTTCATACATATATACATATATATTTCCCAAAGTTCACCAACTATTGATTAAGTATGCTATCTCCTCAAGGACATCTTTGATACTACCTTACCTCTTACAATTGTGAGCTGATGTGTATATCCCAATGGATAATTGCCCATTATGACCACTGCCAAGAAGTTTATTTAGTAGGTTGAGAGCAACCACATTTTGTTCCAGATCAGGTTCCATTAGTCCCCTGAAGCCCAGTGACTTCTCAATTCTGCCCTGTCTCTTCAGACTTACATCTTTCTTGGTATTACAACACATAGGCAGCAAAATGTCAGAGAGGTAAGGAACAGCTATGAGTGTTGGTTAGCTAGTTAAAGTAACTGGCCCTAGAGCCTAGAAAAACTCTTCACTTCTAGGGTTGCTCTGCATTATAGACTTGACCTATTATTAGCTTAATTAATCCTCACAGCAACCTCATAGGTCAGACAGTGGCATCATCATCTTCACCATGATATCCATGACAACACAAAAGTTAACTAGAGGTCATGTGGTGTAGTACATACTTGGTGTGCTCTGATCCAGAGTAGCCTCATCAAGCACAGGAGCAATAACCATGAGCTCCTTCTGCCTTGGCTGACAGCACAATAACACTTCATCCCTCAACAGGCCTGCCTTCAGTATAGATGTATCCAAGTATCACATGGCTCATGAGCTAGGGCTCCAGCCAGATTCTAGTAGTGCTATCTCCAAATATTTTCATTCCCAATAAATCAGAACTGAGGCACTTTGTGGTAACTGGCCATCTGTTTGAAAGGAGACTTGGACATCAATCATTATAGGCAAAATCTGAAGCACAATTCCCAGTTGAAGCTTGTTATGTAAGAAGAGACAGGAACAAACATAGCTTACACTTGTTTCCTTTTGGCCAATGTGGCTAGCTCCAGGCCCATAAGAAAAAATATATTCAAATTTACATATATCCTTAAGAAATGGAAGACAGAGAGAGAGAAAAAAAAATGACATAGAATAACACCTCTCTACAAGTACAAGGATCTGAAAAAAGCAGTTGAAGCAGTGACACAGTCTACCCAGGAACAAAAAGAAAGAGGTAAGGGACACTGGTAATTGAAAAAAATAAATTCAGAAAAATGAAACAAAGAATGTATAGGTAAATGAATGGAACTACAAAGATCATGCTGAGTGGGATAACCCAGATCCAGAAAGACAAGTGTCTTATCTTCTGTCTCACTGGAGGCTCCTAACTCCAAATCTTCAGATGTGAGAACATATACTGGAGTAACTGCAAAAAACAGGGAAAAAA